AAGAATAATGATGAATGTGCACAACACCTCATAACATAGATGAACCTGGAGGATATCATGCAGAGTGAAATTAGTCAATCACTAAAGGACAAATATTACATGAGACAAATATTACATTATTATAAAAGCTTAAGAAATGAGTTCCATATTAAAAGAAACATTCTCTGATGGTTACCAGGGGTTGGAGAGAGTGGAGAATAATTCACAGGTTAGAGAAGACACATGTTACCTCAGGTGACTGGGAAGGCAATAAACAAGAGGATGGAAGGTGGCAGATGAACAAGATAGGGGAAGATTTAGCGAGGCATGCATGGGATAGAAGTAAGTAGCTATTTATATACAACCTTGGAACAACAGTACTCTGTGGTACAGGGATCAAGATATAGTCTGAATGAGTAAAGAAGGGGAAAAAGTGTTTAGGTATTTGACTGTCTTGTGGATATTATAAATATTATAATGTGGATATTATACTATTATAAAGTAGACATTTAGGTGTGATAGAAGTGAATATTGGGAATTATGATTACAGAAAGCTTCTCTTCAGCCTATAACTGGATTTGCTAAAAGGGGAGTTAGAATTTGTCCAGGGAAATAGGCTTCTTGTTAAGCCTTTGTAGAGTGTGGGGCCTCAAGTGGAATCCTCAGCCCAACCCAGAACTTTCTGAGTTGGGATACTGCCACTTGAAAAAACATGCAGACCAACCCAGAACTGCTGGGAGAATAGAATAATCATATTGAAAGAAATAACTGTAGAAAAAAAAAAAAAAGCAGACTGTTTGGCTGTTAGAATCAAGCAAGCTATTTACTTTAGAGGCATCAAGGCAAGAAAAGCCAGCCCATCCAACAAGAATGGAAGGATTTTTCACATCGAGGAACAAGCTTGTTTCATCACTGCACTGGGTTAACAGGGCTGGGCAAACTAGACACTGGATATAAAAAATGGGGGCTATAAGGCACGAAGTGGCTGGCTTACAAACTTTCATGAGTTTGCTTAGTTTCAGAGTGCGGTGGGTAAGGTAGATTCCCCACTGACTAGTTCCCCTCTTCTCCAGATGGATCTGGTGAAATGTGATAGAAGATGATGCTGATAGCATTTTATGATTTGATTGTGAGTAACTGTTAGCAGGATTCATCTTGATTGTCGCAATGTAATTATAGGCAGTGTGTAACTAAAATTAGGGGGCAGTAGTTAATCTTTCATTTCAGGAACAGATGATCCCAGGACCATCAAGAAGGAAGACCATGAGTTGAGTGTGATATTCTACCTAGAAAAATGGCAACAACAGAGATGGTGGCAGAGGCTGTGGCATTAAGAGAGCAGCTGTGGGCTCTAGGCCCATGGACTGAGTAAGGCTGTGTGCCTGTGGGCATGAGGCTGGTTTGCAGAATATTCCCTTAGGACATTTAAGAGAATATTTTTGTTTTGTTTTATATGTGTACATCAAATATTTTTGCTTTATTTGTGAAAAATAAGATGTAAAATGGAAGCCAAAGGACCAGGCAGCGTTTTGTTCTGTTGTGTAAAGGGTCACTATGAGTAGGGACGTTCATCACAAAGGTAACCTGAGTGTCTCTCACCCTGATGAGCTAGCACTTTGAGGTCACTTTGTAGGATAACTGTTGTTGCAGGGAAGGGATTATAATCATTGAGATGAAACAAAGCATATTAATTTGTAGACTGTAAAGCTGATGAACTTGTTTATTAACCTTCACTCAATTCATAATAAAAACCTAAAAAAAAAAA